AAGTTATAGATTCTTTTTCAAGATACAGGAAAGATATATAATACTATTAGTCTAGATATGCTAATCAAGGCTATAAAATAAATTAAAATTCTAAAAGATTTTATTCTTATCATTATGAGTTTTTTTTGTAATAAAGAGTTCAAGGTAATATATGAAAAAGATCTAATAGAAGCAATTATTGCAGAAAATGAAATTAATTAGAGAGAAACTATATTATCTCTAATATGAAGAATATTTTATGACTCTCTATTATATAAGATTCAAAATGATGAAACAACAAGATATAAAATATTGGTTATCTGAAATTCAGATTTGAAAAAAGATAATAGTAAAAAGTTAGAGTCATGAAATGCAGCAATAACTTTCATGAATAATATTATATAGATAGCTTGATTTAAGGAAGATATGAAGAAAATTCTAGAAGAAGCAAAAATTTTTTATAAAACAATTGATTTTTAAATTAATAGTAACAAATTAGTACTAGTTATTATTAACAATCCTAACTATTATTCAGAGAAAGTACAAGCAATGATCAATAAAGAAATAGTCAAAGAACTGGATAGAACTGAACAAGCAAGGTTTTTGAAAATCTGGATTAGTAATCAAAAGATAGCTATTGAGCTCAAAGAACAGGTGCTCAAGGAAATCAATATGATTATCAGAGCTTTAAAAAATAAAAAGCTAACTGACTAACAAATTCTTTATATTTTAAATAGAGTGCTAATGTTAAGAATTAAATTTAGAATATAACATAGTTAAAGATAGGTTCCTAAAAGGGGAGGCAGAGACAAAAATCAAATGTTCCTCACTAGGAAACATTAAAATTTTTAAATTAATAACTATAAAAAAACTATTCACAATTGTTTTCTATTATCCAAATTATTGATTTATAATATTTTTTGACCTTTGTTCTTATTAAAGTGAAGAGTTATGAATTTTATCTTTCAAAAAGGGACATAAGTGATCTGTGAAATTTATATGCTAAATACTTTAGGGACCCATAATTAAACATAGTATACTGTCTTGGAAATATGTAGCACTTTAATAATGATATACATAAAATTATTCAAAAATAAGATCATACTATGTTGCTTGATACTTAATAATAATCAAGATTTATAGCTTATAAAGTATTTAGATATTACAAAAAGAAAGTCAGATAATAGGGCTATACAATAAATTAAATGATTTAGGGACAATTGAAACCATAACAATTATCAGACTCAAGCAAGTACAGGTTAAATACTGGGAGCTTAACAATCTGCTTACTTGTAGCTCATAGAATCATCTTTTAAGAAGAAGTAACTTTATATTACAAGTACTGAAGCTAATTAAGGACATAGATATTATATTTCAAAGCTAGAAATGGAATGATAATTTTTAATAGAACTAGAGAAACAGTTCAATCAAAGAATACTTGTTGATAGAAGAGTATTGAAAAGCTATTTTATCACTCAAAAACAACAAGTTAATATATAAAGTCCAATTAGTTGACTATGAAATAAGAGAAATAAGAAATTAATGAATACTTCAACTTTTATAAAAAATAAGTAAAGGACTTATTTTATAATAATAAAAAAAAAACAATAACCTTTTACTCTGATAAATCTTTTATAAATTATAGAAATATAAATATGAAGATAGGAGTAGCACAAATACAAATAGAAGAGATAGAAAGAAAAAGCAAGTCTTAAATTAGAGTAGCTAATTGGTCTTCATCTATTAGGGTAAAGCTAGTAGTAATAATAACTATACTACTAGTAGTTCTAGTAGATAGTAAGATTAAGATCCATATAAATAATCAAGTCTATATCTCAAAGTGAAAAACTATAGAAAAGAAGGTTTCCAAAATGACTCACAAAAGATGATTAAAAGAACAAAACTGGTTTCTGTTGATATAAATATTAGATCTTATAAAGAAAAAAAAATTAGATCTCAAGCTTATCAAAATTAAGATACATTTCAATATTTAGTATAATAAAGAAGCAGATATCCTTGCCAAAGAAGTACTAAAGTTTTCAGTAATAAAATAGAAAATCTTATTTTACCCAAGATTATTATAAAAATTAAATAGCAAGATACAGTGTAGGATTTTCCTATAAAACAAGTTATTAAAAAAATAAATAACAAAGTAATGGCCTACTAATGAACAATTCAAGATAGAACTAAGAAGAATAGAATCAGCAAATTCAAGATTAATATAAATACATATGGAATCTAGTATGGGAACAATTAAAAAATGGATATACATAGAATAATCCCTTTAAGAGTTCATGTGACAAAAGCTTTCCTATCAAGTTGACCAATAATAAACTATTAATATTGACTAAGCTGGCTATAAGAAGACCAGATCTTTATAAGCAAGTAAAATGTATTATATATGATTAGAAAGAGAAAATAATAGAACAATTACCAGAATATCCAATTTATAAGACTCAGTAAAATAAAATATGGCAAAAGGAAATAGAAGAAGTATTGAAAGAATTCAAAAAGTTTTTAATGGATAGGAAAAGGAATCAGAAGAGAAATAGCTAAACTTAATAATAGATAATAGAATAAAAATAGAAAAAATTGATAAACAGATAATGAAACTAATAGAAAGAATCTCATATACTGATTAGAATAAACTCAGCTTCTGCATAGAACTAACAGAAGAAAATCCAATTATAAAAATAGTAGATCTGAAGTGTTATATTAAGAGAATCAGAAAAGAGGCAAGAAGATAAAAACAAAAATACAGAAAAAAGTACATAACTACTTCCAGAAGAAAATATGAAATATTAAATGTAAAAAAGTGATCGAGTAGAAATAGATATTAGTAATCTATAAACATAACAAGACAAAAAGATCAATATATCTATAGAATTAAAAAAATAAAATCAAGAGTACAGAAAATCTATTTATTGAAAAATCAGTATATAAAGAGAAAAAAATTGAAGACAAGAAGTTGAAAAAGATTTTATTAAATGGTATGAAATATAGTAAGAAGTGATTGGATTTTGATCTTTGTTAGAACTCAAATGAGTGATCTACAGTAGTAGCCTGCAGACAATAAGGTTAGAAGTTGAAAAGATCTTTATCTGAACTACTAACAGGGTGATAAATCATTTCTGAAGCTGCACTTAGAGAAATAGTATAATCAATATGAGTGAATTAGTTAGAGAATTGATTTTAGTGTATCATTTTATATATACAGCTTACAAATATTTAATAAAGAATATATTATCAATCTAATAGAGGGTTATAAAAAACCCCCCCAGTTTTTATCATCATTACAATATAAAAATACTATATTAATATATTTTTATTTTTTTAATATTTAAGTCATATAGCCTTAACCAATTTAAGTGTTAAGAAAATCTTGGATTTTGCTATTCAAAATATATGAAGATACAAAGATAAGTCAAAAAAACTTGATTGGTTCAAATTTTTAATGAAAATATAAGAATATTTATTTTTTTTTTTCAAAAAATATTCTCATAAGAAATCTGGAAGACCTCTATTATTTATATTAATTAAAAATATATAGACCATAACATAAATTAATAAAAGAATTTATTACAATTATAAAATTAATGGCTATCAAAAAGAATAGTTATATGCAAGACTGATAATTAATACAGTATCACAATAAGAATTATAGAAGTAAACTAGAAATTGGGAAAAAGTAATTTATAAAATTACAATCAAGAAAAACTCCTATAAGTCATATTTGAAAAGTGATTAAGAATAAAGTAATAGAAGATTATTGTTTAATCAATAGAGTAATATTATTGAATTATCAGAATATTAATATATAATTATAAAACTTATATATATCAAAGTATTACTAGTTTTCTGAGGATTAAATATAATAAAAATCTATTAATAGTATTCATAAATAAAAAATGAATAAGTATCAATTTAAGGAATATACTTTAAGCTTCTTAAAGATATATAAAAAAAGTTCTATAGTGGTCTTTGAATATTATAAGACTTGGACAAAGCAGGGTAACTTACAAAATGATAGAAAAAATAGGTTAGATTAATTGTTTATATAATCAACACTGTACTATCATAATATTTAATAAATTTACTTTAGTTAAATTAAACTTAAATAGAAAAAAAAAAGAATTAATTAATTAATTTAAATTTTTAATCCATTATTCAAAATATGACATAAAAAAAATATTAAAATATCAAAAAATTTATACTATATTAAAAAAAAAATTATTATTTATAGTAAAAATATTTGGTTTTCAAGTTAATATAAATATAAGTAATTTTGATACTTTTTTTTAAACTTTGTAACTTTTTTAAAAAAGAAAAGAAAATATTTTTTTATTTGGTATTTTTTCAATAATAATTTATTTTTGACAGATTTACTTTTTTAATAAAAATAATAAAAGATTATAAAATAAGTAAACTTTTTAAAAGTTTCTTTATTTATTAAATATTTTTTAAAGTAATATATATAATACAATTATTAAAATAAATTTAATATATTATTACTACACTGTGCAAATAAAGTGAAGCCGGGCAAGTATTCCAAAGTAAAAAAGAAAAAATTCAATGAAGCAATAATTGAGATAGTGTTTTTTTTAAAAAAAATAATTTAATATTCTTGAAATATTATTACCTAACAATTTAGAAATTGTTATTTAAGTTTGATTTTAACCAATTCTTAAAGCATTAGATATAATTAATCTTTTTTCTAATCTTATTTATAATTAAAACACATTAAAAATTCGAAATCAAATTAAAAGGAAACCAATCACGGCAAGCGAAGGTATTACTGTATATGAAATATAATGATTAGAATTCCTCTTATCAGAAGTTAACCATAATTTAAAATTGTGAAACAGCCTATGGAAGATTAATTATAAAATAACTTATTTGTTTATAGCACAATTTTTAGCCATGATTCCAACGTTAAATTTAAAAGCGAGCTTTTCTATCTGTCTTCATGAAAACAAAAAGTGCAACGTGTGCAAAAAACCTTCGGCGAGCTATTGTTCGAAATGCAGAACAGCACATTACTGCTTGTGGAAATTCGTCGACTGAAACTGGTGAAACTGACGCGAAGCTTTCCTCAACCCTTAATCCATTCTGGTTAAAAATAGCAATAATTGGTAATGGTGATGTTGGAAAAACAACGCTTGCCCGTCGTGTTTTTTGTAATCCCTGTGAATATCGCCAAAAATTTTATTATCCATTACTACCTTTCGATTGGTATACGCTGGGTCATTACTTTGTTTACCAAATTTACGACGCAATTGGCGATTTTAAATTAGGAGAAACTGATCGCGAAATCGAATACAAAAAAACAGGGGCAATATTCTATTTTTTGCGTTATATGACCCACAAACATTAATTAACATTGAGAAAGTTTGGATTCCTGATGTCAAAAAAAGTTTTCCATACAAGATGCCACCTTTATTATTGGTTGGAAATAACAAACAATTACGAGATTCGTTACCAATCATTGAAGAAAAAAACATTCGCATGAGAAATATTACAAAAGTGTTGCGGAAGAAAAAAAGAAAATAGGGGTGAGGAATTTGTAAGTAGAAAACAGGCAGAAGCAGTTGCAGACCGAATTGAAGAAACTGGATATATTCAAGTTGATCCGATAAGTGAAGAGAATTGTAAAGTTGTGTTTGACAAGATTACTCTGGCCTGTATTTCGAAAGTTAGAAGATCACATAATGAGAGAGATCGCTTCGCTGAAACGAGGATTAGACAAGAGCCAATATGAACTTTTTTTCAGTAGACCTGTCAAATGTAGATGGATTAAACGGAATTTTTATTTCAATAAATTATTTATTATTATCTTGCATATACTGTATGTAAAAAAAAATCTTGGTTTTGCAGTAAGAAAATCATAAACAACACGATCAAATATACTCAAAAGATTCATCAACCTATCTTATTAGTCAGAGCGGTACTGTATTCGAGCTCGGAGCAGTAACAAAGTACTTTTCCCAGCAATTATAATTAAGCCGAAGAAGTGATTGTCTGGATCAAAAATAGTTTTAACACAACAAAACAAATGGCGCATATTATATAATTAAAAGTGAAGTATACGCATAATGACCTTTTGTCTTTTTTTTTTGAACAAATGGGAAAAATGTGAAAGGAGGTCTACGTGCAATACAGAACCTACCAAATAAGTAAATATTATCATCAATGTTAATACTGCCTTTCTTTTTAGCAAGATACAGTATAAAGCATACAGGGAGCTCACAAAGTTCAACAAGGCATATCTTGTGTTTATGAGAGGGACTTAACTTCTACCATAATGTAGAAAATAAATATTAATTTTCGCGATTAAAAGATTAGCATTCTTTGTATATGAAAATTGGAGCAATGACTTCCTCGAACTTTTATCATGTGACAGTAATTTTTTGTGCATTATATCGGGCTCTTAATTTCGATTAATGTCACGTGAAATTATGTCATCTCTCTGTACTACATCTTAAAATTATAAAATCACCGAGTTTGCGAAAAATTTTGAATAAGATGGCGAGCATACAGGTTCTTTCCATGATCGACGACTTACAATTAGGTAATAAATATATATCTATTTATCTTATTTTTCATCACGGAAGACCTAAATTTCTCTTTGAATTTTAGAATACTTGAGAACACCAAAACCGAGTATCTGGATGCCGCGCACGTGGTGTCTAAAAAAGAACATTAGATCGAATCAAATCATATCACTTTCTATCCCATCGAATCCTGAATTGACAAATTTTTTTGCGTCAGTGAAATTATATTCGAAATATTCAGAATTATTTCACAGCAATTCCATTTTTCCTGAGGAATTAGAGTTCTCTTTGCCAGATCTACATCAATTATCGCAAAATATCCATAATGAGAGCTCTAGTAAAGCTAATAATCATGAAAGAAAATATGAGGACAGGAATTTTGATGCACAAGCCATTATTTCGAAATCGCTAGCTTGCAATTTGGGCATCTGTAAGATTACAGGAAATCCTGATTTAGGATTTCCTATTGAGTTAAGATTTGTTGAAGTGGTAGGAGTTTATTAATCATTTGAAGGCTTTCAGGATCTATAGTCGTGTAAATCTAAAATATTCTAATGGTGACAGATAAACGATGTACCGACAGCAGATCGGATCGTTCTCTACGTTCCCTTGGAAATATTGTCAAACTTTGATGGCAGTTTTGATGAAAGCATTTTTAAGAGAGTTCATTTGGGGTCACCAGTGTCACAAAATACTTGGATGTGTCATCTTGGATGTAATGGGATGAAATATTTTAAAGTCGTTCAAATCTTCCCGAATATTAATCTCTCTTTGACATCGTCAATATCGATCGGTAGAATTTCAGATTCAACAATAATCGAAATAGTTGACGAAAATTCCGAAGAATTTATGAAATATCTAGGAACTGATGCAACTAGGGAAAAACTAAAATTTCAAACCAAGTCAGAATGGATGGAAAAAATTATTAGACAAATCGGCGGGTTAGATGAAGTTATTGATAAAATTATCGAACAAATTCATTGTTTTGTGGTCACATCGCAAAAGAAATTCAGAAATTGCGAAAAAAGAAGTAAAGGCATTCTGATAATAGGAAAACCCGGAACCGGAAAGACTGCACTTGCTTCACTTATAGCTGGTGTGTTTTTATAAATGCGATTAGAAGAGAAAAAAAAAAGTTTTTTCATTAGCTCACTGCTGGTCCCTTGTTATTAGAAACATCAGGACTTCCATACGTAATTATTAATTGCCCGGAAATCTTCAAGACTAGTAATCTTAATATTTTCTATTTTTCTATTCGTCATTATTACATTATGTATTGAAATTATTAATTATTTGTTAATGATAGATGAAGGAGTTGCTGAAAAAGAAATTAGCATCATATTTGAATCAATGCAGAGACATAGAGTTTCATTAATAGTACTGAACGAAGTTGACGTGATAGCTGATGTTTCGGCAAGTTCGCACGCAGGTAATGGCATCTGGACTTATGCATATTTTTGAAATCTAGTGATAATCCAGCAATCTTTCTTTAAAATATACAATATAGGCGTTGAGGCAAATTTGTATTCAATGCTGATCAAATTAATTGATTCCATAAATGAAAACGCGTGGGATGAGAAGCTCAGAGGGCAAGTGTTCGTAATAGGTAGATATTTATATTACTTAAATACGTAGGGCAATGGTTTATTTCTCCTTGCTACACTTCATAATATAAGGATTAGTGTCTGTCACATTTCTTTTGTCGGATTTATAAACAATATTCTTTCAAATTTTAAGGATTAACCAATCGTTTTCATGCTGTTAACAAAACTCTCCGTCGCTCGGGAAGACTTGATCGCACTTATGAGCTCGTTATTAAAAAGCCAGAGCAAAGGCGAAAGATACTGGAAGTAATGACAGATAGTACGTTTTAGAGATTACCGAGTTCCCCGATGTATAATGACGCCACCATTCTTATTCATAATTGCAGAAATACCATTTGCCGAAGGACAAAGAGATTTTATTTTAGACAAAATTAGTAAAATTACACACGGATTTGTTGCTACCGACCTACATCATCTTTGTGCTCAAGTCACGATGAAATTTATCAGAGAAGTATGAATTAACAAAGTTTGCGTAGATTATTTACCGAAAAATAATTAATTGACGCATTCTTTTTTTAGGTAAAGGACTCGCAGGTTGTCACATTGGAAGATTTTTTGGAATCTCTGAAAGTCGTCAAACCTGCAAATCTTAATATATTTCAGACGAAGGTATCTTTACTTAACTCGGGGTTGTTCCATATCGGGTGTATTTACATGAGATCCAATGTTCGGACAGACACCAGACACCAGATTTTCGGACATTTTTGGCATCGATGATATCGTTGAGGATATAAAGGTGAACCCCTCAACCTCTATCTCTTTGTCTCTACTCCGTGCATTCATAAACTTCGTAACCTAACCTTTATTATTTAGCTAACTATAGTTGAGCCATTTAATGATCCACAAGAGTTTATTGAATTCGGAATTTCGCCACCACGCGGAATTCTCATTTATGGCCCCCCCGGAGTTGGGAAGACAATGTTGTGCTGTGCTATTGCGGCGGAGATTGCCATAAATTTCATATTAGTGGAGGTATCATCATTTCTTCTAGGTTCAACTAAGGAAATCTCCTTTTCAACGTCTTTTATCTCAACTTCTACACTCGATTTAGAGTTCACAAATGCGCTCTAAGATCGTTGGCGAATCGGAGAAAAACATTGTAAACATGTTTGCGCAAGCAAAAGCCAATTCTCCTTGTGTTTTGTTTATCGATCAGGTTGTCATTCATTTACTGTGCTCTTTCCATTCTTTCGCATGGTTCCTTAATTTGTCGTTTTTTCACCTCGAGAAAGATTGACGTTTTGGCTCCGACCCGAGGGACTAGTACAACATCGGAAAACACATCTGAACGTATTGTGACAAGTCTTTTAACTGGTGAGATTAATTACTAGTCTCTTTAATTGGCGCTGGTAAAAATTCCTCACGATAATAAATTGTTTATCTAGAGATGGATGGTTTTTTTACCTCAAGTCGTGAGGAAGGACCAGAATTCGATATCCTGGTAATTGCGGGTAATTCGATGTGAAAAATAAATCCATTCAACATAATGAATGCAGAAATAAAAATTACTCAATTTTAGCCACGAGCAATCCTGAAATACTTGATCCTGCACTATTGAGACCCGGTAGATTAGATCAGCTCATCTATATTCCACCGCCAAATGACAAGGTTTGCTGATGTCCATTCGAACGAACTATTAAGGCCAATCTATATTTTAATATGATTCTTTACAGCAAAGGAGTGCTATATTAAAAGGAAAGTTTAAAAAGATGCCAATAGCCATGCCGGATGATCGATTCTCTGTCTTAATTAAAGAAACCGAGGGATTCTCAGGTAATTAATTATGCGGTAGCCGATAGATTGTCTTTTTTAATGCGACTTATTTTAACCCATTGCGTTGGCAGGCGCGGACTTGGACAATTTATGTAGAGAAGCTGCGTTAATAAGTATCAGAGAAAATATAAATGATGAACTGGTAAATTTAAACGAATTTTTAAGATCCTTGATTTTCACCATCTACTTCATCTAAGTTTTTATTTTCAGGTTACTTATGATCACTTTACCAAGGCGATGTCAGTGTGTTCAGCTTCTTTGCTAAATTATAAACCAAAACATCCATTTGCGAGGTAGAAACTTTGGTTAGAATTCCTCTAGTGTCGTCTATTCACTGTCATTGAAAAAAAAAAAGAATAAATTAAAGACCCGTAGATTTTCATTATTAATTTAGATTATTTGAAATCACGTTCAATTATCGTTAAATATTGAAATGGTTAGTAAAAGCATCATAAACAAGTTTTATATAAAAAAAAAATACAAAAAATAATGTTAAAAATTTGTATCTATGTTTTTAAAACAAGTCAAAAAAATCTTATTTTATGGAAAATTCTTTTTCATGGAGGTTTCTATACAATAACATTAATGATAATAGAAAACAAAAATCTACACAAAATTTCTTAAATTAAACAAATTTTCAAGAAAACCAATTATAATATCAAAAAATAAATAAAGGATAATATAATATATCATCTTTTATTCTTACTAAGTTTTTATTATAAAAAGGTTGTACACTCTTTCCACTGATCCTCTGATCACACACAAAAAAGAAGTCACAAGAAGTTTTTATACTTCTACGTTAACATAGCCTTAACACTTTCTTTAAACCAACTTGAAAAAACTTCAAGAGCCATCACTACTTTCCTCCCTTCTTGTTAATACTCCTCTTCAGACAAAAACTTGACCGCTAGTGACCAGAAAGTCAAGCAACACCTTTCCTACCAAATGCAAGAAAGTTCTAAAAGGTAGAAGAACCTTTGTGCCATCATCTCACACTGTAGAGAAACACCACAGAAGTTTTTGTATGATGAGAGACAACTTTTCCACTCTCTTGTCATTTTGCTACTTCTCATAGTGCTCATTTTTTATTTTTTTCTGAGAAATTTTGTCTATCTCAATTTGACCCTGAATTTTGAATAGCACAAAGTTTCTCACACCGTGATTGAACAGATAGAGCTCACATTGATAAAAGAAGTAAACAAGCTTTCATTGATCACGTCATGTGTCTGGATGCATTTCCTCAGCTCCATAAGAACCTAGGATCCACTATAAGTTACTTCCAGGTTTGTGTGAGTGAATATAAGACATGGTATCCAACACATTTTAGGAAACAAGAAAGAGTCCATCTGATTATGGTAAAGGTCACAAGACACTCCAATAATTTTTAGAATTGAAGTCACCTACTCTTAACAGCCAAGTAGGTTCCTTTCGCTCCTACAGATAGGTAAAGATCTGTTCTTTTTCTTATAAAAAACAAACAAGATGGATAAGAAGTTTTTTCTAGTCGGTGAGTTTTTTACTTTTGGTTCATGGTTTGATAGAGGACTAGAAACCAAAGCAACACTAAGGCTCTCGATGAAACCTCTCCCTAAAAAAAGGTTATAAAGCTGTTAGTGATATCCACCATTCTTACTCGTAGTGAAAATATTAGTTGGAAATTTTTGCCAAAATGGAAGAATCCCCCATAAGCTAAATCTACCTTTGGAAGAGTTGCGCCTTCTTAAATAAACAGCATATGCTTGAAGATAATATTACTTATAGGATTGGATTCGTCAATCTCACCAAAGATTTTAAGGTATCTCCTTGGCCACAAATTCCACTAGGTCTTTGGATGAGTAATCCCCTTCCCCTCCTCACTTTTCTTCCTTCTAAAGATAAAGAGACACAATATTCCAGTGAATAATTCGTAAGACATCAGATTGGTCAATGGTGATCTCTGGTAAATAGTTAGCAGGTGCAAAAAATTTAAGTCATTTATCCAGTGTTTCACATAATTTTAAGGAATTTTTTTTTCAGCACTAGTTTAGACCTTAGACTAGTCTTTTTTCTCTTTTTAGGAGGTGACTAGGCCACAAGGTAAAGTCTTCATAAAGGAACTCTTCTATTGTAATACTTTATTTGTTTAAATGTTTCTTATATATGTCTCAGAGGAACTTTGTTTCCTTCACCTTATATAAGAATTCTTCAATAAAGTTTTGGCTTAGTCAGCGTTAAAAAAAAAAAAAAAAAAAATTATAAAAAGGTTTGTTTAGTAACTAAGATTTTCTTATTTCAATCTTATTTAGTTAAGTTTTTAAAAATAGGTTTTTGATTTTAATTAGATAAATTCTTTTGTAATTCAATATAAATTCTAAAAGTATAATAAGTAAATATATATATTAATAAAAAAAATAAGTTTTTTAAATATTTTTAAAAAAGCTTATACTAAGAATAAATATGTTTTAAAATAATATAAAGCAAAAAAAAATATTTAAATTAAGTAAATTCCTTTTAATAAATAGTTATTAACCTGAATAAGAAAAAAATTTTTAATTTATAAATTTAATAATTCATTATTTTTTAAAATAATAAATAATAACAATTATTTATAATAATTTTAATAAATAGAAATTATAATTTAATCAATCAAAATAATATTTTTTAAATTTGATTTAAAATATATATATATATATATTTTTAAATACCAGCTCAGCATGTTTATTAGCATTAATATAGACAAATTCAAAGAATTACATTGAAAGTATCATAACAGCTATATAAACTATCTAAAACTAAACAGTTTACCAGATTGCTTTTTGCTGCTTCACCAATGGGGTGGAGAACTAGTCTAAGGTTACCTTTCGGCTAGTGCAAGAAATATAGAATAAAAAAAAAAATAGCAGGTACTGTTGTGCAAGGACCAAAGTTTCTTCTACTACCGATCATCTACTGAGACTAATGTCAAGGAATATTCAACATCTACGAAATTATCCACTAAAGTATTATGTCTTTACATCTTTGAAAGGAAGGAAGGAGTGTTCTTCTTCCGGCTGGGAAGAAGTATGGTTTCAGATGCCAGCTTTATTGATATTATCTCATCTGATACTCTGCCTAGGGGATTACTCATCCAAAGATCAGGTGGGATCTATGGTTAGGAGGAACCTTAAAACTATGGTGGGTTGATGACCTTATCCTAAAGATAATACCAGCTTTAAGCATATGCTGCTTATTTAAGAAGGCACAACTCTTCCAAAATCAGGCTAAGTCATTAGGGGGTCTTCTAATCTGGCAGTCATTTTCAACTAGTACTTTTACCAAGAGTAAGATTGGTAGGTGCCACTAGCGGCCTAAGAAAGACCATGCTGAAGGGGAAGTCATGTTAAGAGTCTTGATATGAGTCGTTAGCTTTTGATCCTTCTTTTTGTGGGGCCTGTTGTGTCTCTTGGTTCTGCTTGTTTCATCTTTTGGGTGGTTCTGTATTCAGGATGTCATGCTTTCTTGGGCCTTGTATTATTTCTTTAGTATTGCACCAGGCTAAATTTATTTTGTTGTGAGCATATTAGGTTACTTCTATCGATACATGAGTCCTTTTGTCTATGGGCTTGTCCTTTCTCTCTCTTTCTCTTCTTCCATGATGTAGAAGATGACTGTGTCCTGTATTCACCTGTATGGCAATGATTGACTTATGGTGGATCCCAGGTTTTTATGGGACTGAGGAAATGTATTTAGACACATGAGGTGATCAATAGGAGTTTGTTTATCAATCTTTGTCAACGTATTTCATGTCGACCAATCAAAATCTGTGGGATTTGTGCTATCCAAATTTCAGGGTCAAGCTGAGGTAGGCAAAATTCCCCAAAAAGTCATGAAGTGGGAGCTCTGAGAGGTCAGAAGACAATATCAAGGAGAAAAAATGAGTCCTTGACTGGGACAGAACCTCTATCATAACTTGTCTTGTTTTTTCACTTCAGAAGAGTAGTAACAGGTACTACACTGATTGTACTTCTCCCTTTAGAAACTTTCCTGCCATTGATAGTAAAGGTATGAGTTGAACTTTGTAGGCCATAAGAGTTCAGTTTGTCCGAAGATGATTGTAAACAAGAAGAAAAGGGTATAGATAACTCCTGAAGGTTCTCTTCAGGTTGGATTAAAGAGAGTGTTAAGACTTTATTAGTGAAGAAGTATTAAAAACTTCTTGCAAATATCTTTTTTGTGTGTGGTCAAGGGATCAGCAGAAAGAATTCATTATTTGATTTAAAGTATTTAAGTAAAACTTTGTTATATTTGATATAAACTATTTTAAAGTCTTTATATATTTTTTAAAATAATAAAATTTTTTGATTAATAATATATAATATAATTATAATTTATTATCATATAATAGATAATATAATATTATAAATATTTGTTATACTTTTATATCAACTTTTTAATTATTATTTTTAAAAATATTAAGACCTGTGAATCAATAGCGCAGTGGTAGCGCTTCCAGATCATCAAGTGCTGCTTCCGAGTTCAATACCACTGCGAGGCAATATCACCTAAGCCTAGGTAGTACAGGAAAATCTTATCCGTCTTATGATGATAATTACTGTCACCTGTAGCCAAGATCCCTCCCGATCATGGGATAGTCAAAGATCACAAAATGCTTCAGCCGGTTTTAGTGCTAAAGTCATCTCGTCATAAAGACAGGTTCCAATAAGCTCCTGCAGATAGGTTGAAGATCTGCATGCCATAAAAAATTCAGGGACTAACGGTACCTAGGCACGTTAGCAAAAGAAGAGGGTCTCTACCAAAAATTGAAAATCTGTTCAAGACTCCACGCGGTCACCCCATAGGCAGGCTGTAATAGATCATGTAAAAAGGGTACTCAAATGGGATGAGACGACATCTAAGACTCCATGTGAATATTCCATAGGCATACTGTAATAGGTAGTATAAAAAGAGTATTTGGTGGGACGAGATATGAAAGGGGTCTCAGGTCTGAGCCAGCCAGAGGGCAAGCATACATAGCAAAGGCCTGAACGTAGGTAAGCTGGGTAGTAGGATTTCTTTTGGCAACACACTATATGGATCATATAAAAGATTGTGACAAATAGGTTTATTGTAACAGTTAGCCGTTATCGAGGTCGAGTTATATTTCTAAGTAATATAGCCTTTACTATAGTCCATAATCTCAATGTACCTCATTAATTCACTGCTACAACTTCAATAAAAACTGGGCCTCTGTACTCTGTTAAAAAAAAAAAAAAATTTTTAAAAAAAATTTTTCAAAACTATATATTTTAAATTTTAAAAAAAATTTTTTTTTTGAAGTG